CGGCAGGGGAGATCTCAGGATCTCCCCTGTCAGCTCACGCAGAGCCGGTGCTATCCGATCGCCGGCTCTGCTCTCAGCCTCCCTTCCCACCAGCCCACATGCAGTGAGGGAGGCAGGAGAGGACCCGGGGAGCTATTGCTATTGGGGAGCTATTACCAGCAGCTCCGCCGGGTTCCTCTCGTGAGATCTGAGCGTTGCCACGGCAACACTTAGATCTCGCGAAAGTGAACTCTAGCCCGGCAGGCTAGAGTTCACTCTCCACTGGACCACCAGGGAATGCAGCAGCATGGTCCCCCCTCCCTACATAAGGTAACAAGAGAGGGGGATATTAACTGATCTGCCCCCACCTCCACTGGACCACCAAGGAAGGCAGCAGCAACATGGAACCCCCTACCTACAAAAGGTAAGAAGGGAGGGGGGATATTTATTAACTAATCTGCCCCCACCTCCACAACCAAAAATCACCCAAACATACAGCACACACAAACACAGCACCCTCACACACACAGCACACCCACCCACACACACACACACACACACACACACAAAAGCACCCTCACACACAGCATCCTCACAAACACTGCACCCACACACACACAGCACCCACACACACAGCACCCATACACATACAGCACCCCCACACACAGCACCCACACACACACACACAGCACCCTCACACACACACATACAGCACCCCCCCACACACAGCACCCACACAGCACCCACACACACACACAGCACCCTCTCACACACAGCACCCACATAGCACCCACACACATACAGCACACAGATAGCACCCACACACAAACAGCACCCGCACACACACAGTACACTAACATCACCCTCACAAACACACAGCACCCTCACACACACAGCACACAAACAGCACACTCACACACAAACAGCACCCTCACACACAGCACACTAACAGCACCTTCACAAACACACGACACCCACAAACAGCACCCTCACACACACAGCACCCTCACACAGCACACTAACAGAACCCTAACAAACACACACACAGCACACTACCAGTACCCTCACACACAGCACACAAACAGCACTTCACACACAGTACATTAACAGCACCCTCACAAACACACACACATAAACACCCTCACCCACATAGCACACTACCAGCACCCTCACACACACATCACACTAACAGCACCCTCACACAGCAGTGTATGTATGTGTGTGTGTGTGTGTGTGTGTGTATATATATATATATATATATACATACAGTGCTGTGTGAGGGTGCTATACATACATATACACGCAACGTGTGTTTGTGCTTTAGGGTGCACACCCTAATGCAATAGGCTGCGCATGCCTATGGGTATGTTCAGTCTTTTTTAGTAGCCACTTAGTCAAAAACACTGGCCAAAGTTAGCATTCATAATTGTTTTTTGCATTTTTAACACACAAACAGATATAAATGATAACTTTGGCCAGTGTTTGCGACTAAGTGGCTACTACAAAAGATTGCACATACCCCATATTGAATACCCTGGGTTGTCTACTTTAAAAAAATATGTACATGTGAGGTGTGATTCAGAGATTTATGACAGATAACAGTGTTACAATGTCACTATTGATACATTTTAAAAATATATATTTTGAAACAGCAATTTCCTATTTGTAAAAGGAAATAAAAAGTATGAAATGCAGCGGCCTAACAGAGGGTCACCCTCTAACCCTCTAGAGTGGGAATATACAAGTGAAAACAAAGGAAGGCTGCGCCAAGGGAAGTAGATAAATTTACACAAATAAAATTATATGTGATATAAATAAAAAGTCCCAATATCTATCTTTTAGTGGTTGTCTCAACTGGTGTAATGTCTTCTCTGTTGGAAGTAGTTCGTCTCACGATATGAAAGACACAATGGGAAAAAAACAATCGTGCAGAGTGTATAAATAAATATCCGTGAAATTAAAATATAAACTCCACACTCACATTTCCATGAGCTAAGGACAGCTCTCGTGTAACAGGCATACAGCGGATAACCCTCCGCTTGTAGGGGTGCTTGTCCTCCTGGAGAGTGCTGGTGTCCAATTCTCAAAGGAAAAGTGATAAAAACAGCCTTTTTACTTGTAATTTCTTATTTGTACCTATAGCCCTATAACAAAAAAAAAGCAAAAAAGCATGTAAACACTGGGTGATTTTTAACTCAGGATAAAATGTTGAATCTATTTAGCAGTATTTTAATTAGTTTTTGTAGATAAGTAAAATATTTTTCAGGTAAAAGTCAAAAAACATGTTTTTTATTAAATTTTTCACCATATTTATTTAACTTATATGACATGATACAAATAATGGTATGTAAAGAAAGCCCTTTTTGTCCTGAAAAAAAACCCCAAGATATAATTTGTATGGGAACAGTAAATGAGCGAGAGGAAAATTACAGCTAAACACAAACACCACAAAAGTGTTAAAACAGCCCTGGTCCTTAACATACAACATGGCCAAAACAGTCCGGTCCTGAAGGGGTTAAAAAGGTGAGAATAAATCATAGCTCCTTTAATATTGCTAGGTTCATGCCATCTGGACCCATCACATTCCAATTCAGAGAGCTCTAAAACTATCTCATCTTCTCTGAACAGGATTGCATTACTTTTTTATCTATAAAAGAAAAGATCAATTTTTGTTTTAGTTCTGTATCTTTGGATAAGAAATAATCATTTATGTACTCCACTAAAACCTTGCCTTTGTCTTTTAGTCACATTTTACCTCCCTTTGATTTCTTTCCTCACAAAAATATATATAAAAATGTTTAATCTCTTTTTTCTTTTTTTTTTTCTTCTGTTTGGTCTTTTGAACATCAAATTGTTTTTTTTTTTCCTGCTTACCATTAATCTCTGTATCTTCATAGAACAGATAAGCTATATATAGTTGGAAACATTTGTATTTTATAAACGAAAACAGAAACTAAATATAGAATCATAACTTTTCTTTTAATTGGTGAAGTTTACAGAATATTTAGTTACATTACATGGAAGATAATGCATTTAATTTAAAATTTTGGGGAAAAAAAGTTTTAGTCCACATTTTGGATATTGTGTTTTATGATATTGTTTTTTTTTTTTGTTTTTTGTTTTTTACACAAATACATATTATTTTCTTAAGAATCTGTTCAATAAAACAACATATAACATGTGCGGTTACCCGACAGATATCGTTATCATGGATGTTTAGTTGGATCACATAAATATATAAAATTAACCTCAGACAGACGCCACCACGACCAGAGGAAATAACCCATTTCCTCTCTAACAGAATCACGCAAACGATCCCCACAAACGTAAGACAATCCATTGAAGGACCCCTAACAGACGAAGAATTTAGACTGGTAGTTAAAAACCTCCCCATAGGCAAAAGCCCAGGACCCGACGGCTTCACTACCAAGTACTTCAAAACATTCACAAATCTGCTCTGCAAACCCTTTGTCACTGCCTTCAATTCACTGGCTTTAGGACACAAACTCCCAGTAGAATCCTTAGAAGCCCACATCACATTGATCCCCAAACCCGGAAAGGACCTAGAGGAGTGTGGGAGCTACCGCCCAATCTCTCTTATAAATTGTGATTTGAAAATCTTCACTAAGATTCTTGCCAACCGGCTGAAACCACTCCTGAACGGACTGATACACCCGGATCAATCAGGGTTTGTACCGAATAGGGAGGCCAAACATAACACTACGAAACTCCTAAGCCTGATACACACAGCCAAAGGAAAAGGACCCCAGAGCCTCATTTTAACTATAGATGCCGAGAAGGCATTTGATAGGGTAGACTGGTCCTTCCTCATGGCCACAATGAAAACTCTGGGCTTCGGCCAACAATGGATACAATGGCTCGCAGCCATATATTCAAAACCGGGAGCAAAAGTGCGTGTGAACGGCCAATTGTCAGATACCGTACAAATAACCAATGGTACTAGGCAAGGCTGTCCCCTCTCCCCACTACTCTTCATCCTCACCATGGAGCCATTCCTACAAGGAATAAGAGACAACCCAAACATATCTGGCATTAAAATAGCAGAGCAGGAATACAAGGTCTCCGCTTTTGCGGACGACCTACTGTTCACCCTATCTAATCCAAAAACATCCCTACAACACCTTATACAAGAGATAGAGGCATATAATGCAGTCTCCAATTACAAAATAAACATGGGTAAGAGCGAGATACTCCCGCTCAACATACCGAACGCCACACAAACAGCGCTCCGCGTCACCTATCCATTCCACTGGCCCACAGAGTCAATTAGATATCTGGGAGTCCAACTCACAACCACACTGTCACGCCTATACGCCCTTAACTACACAACCCTTCTAAACAAAGTAGATACCGAACTCAAATCGTGGAATAAACCACAATTCGGTTGGCTATGCAGAATCCACATCTTAAAGATGATGATTCTCCCCAAGTTTCTATATATAATGCAAACCTTGCCTATTAAAATACCAAGGCCTTTCTTCTCCCTCTCCAGGCGACTATTCAACAACTTTATATGGTCAGGTAGACCCCCGAGGCTACAATACGAATGCCTCACAAAAAGCAAACAACGAGGAGGACTAGGCCTACCAGATCTGGAAACGTACCACAAAGCCATTATCCTCACGAGGATTTATGAATGGTCATACCCTAAAAACACAGCCCAATGGGTACAGATTGAGGCCAGCTTTCTCACGACACCGATATATGCCATACCCTGGCTCGCTAACAAGACCGACACGAAAACGCGCTCAGGGACCTCTCACCCCACAATCACACACACAGTGAAACTTTGGTCGACCATTAGGAGAGACAAACACCTAGCACCACATCCATCACCACTCTACCCACTAACAGGAAACCCCTCCTTCCCCCCAGGCATGGACCACAGGGCGTTTAGAAACTTCCCCAAACAAGCTCTTACACTGACTTTGGGAGATGTCCTAACGGACCAGGGGGTCACTCCCTTTGAACAACTACTACCCATTGAATCGCAAACGGGAATGACGCGACTGAGACACGAGCAACTCAAACACTTTCTAAGCACAAATCCACCACTATCACAAGGCCATAGAACCCACACTCTATACGAGACCCAATGCGCACAACACAGCATCCAGAGGGGCCACATATCCTCCTTCTATAAACAATTATGCCGACGAAAGGACGAACTCCTACCTACCTATACATCCAAGTGGGAAACAGAGCTGGGGATACAAATGCAAACCAAAGAGTGGTATAAAATATTCGCCAATGTCTTCCGCACATCCAAAAGCAACAGCACACATGAGAGCAATTACAAACGAATAGCCAGATGGCACTACACACCATCCCGCATCCACAGATTCTTCCCAAACGCACCAAACACATGCTGGAGGTGCAAGAAAGCGGAGGGAACCACAAGCCACATCTGGTGGCAATGCCCAATAATAAGTAAATTCTGGGCCCAAACTTTTTTACATTGAAAATTGCCAGGTTGGTTATGTTGCCGTTGAGAGCGTATGGTAGCCCAGGAATGAGAATCACCCCCATGATGGCATACCATTTGCAAATGAAGACAACCCAGGGTATTGCAAATGGGGTATGTTCATAGGCATGGGCACGGGGTGTGCCTGGGCACGCCTATGGAGTGAGAGCGGCAGGGGAGATCTCAGGATCTCCCCTGTCAGCTCACGCAGAGCCGGTGCTATCCGATCGCCGGCTCTGCTCTCAGCCTCCCTTCCCACCAGCCCACATGCAGTGAGGGAGGCAGGAGAGGACCCGGGGAGCTATTGCTATTGGGGAGCTATTACCAGCAGCTCCGCCGGGTTCCTCTCGTGAGATCTGAGCGTTGCCACGGCAACACTTAGATCTCGCGAAAGTGAACTCTAGCCCGGCAGGCTAGAGTTCACTCTCCACTGGACCACCAGGGAATGCAGCAGCATGGTCCCCCCTCCCTACATAAGGTAACAAGAGAGGGGGATATTAACTGATCTGCCCCCACCTCCACTGGACCACCAAGGAAGGCAGCAGCAACATGGAACCCCCTACCTACAAAAGGTAAGAAGGGAGGGGGGATATTTATTAACTAATCTGCCCCCACCTCCACAACCAAAAATCACCCAAACATACAGCACACACAAACACAGCACCCTCACACACACAGCACACCCACCCACACACACACACACACACACACACACACAAAAGCACCCTCACACACAGCATCCTCACAAACACTGCACCCACACACACACAGCACCCACACACACAGCACCCATACACATACAGCACCCCCACACACAGCACCCACACACACACACACAGCACCCTCACACACACACATACAGCACCCCCCCACACACAGCACCCACACAGCACCCACACACACACACAGCACCCTCTCACACACAGCACCCACATAGCACCCACACACATACAGCACACAGATAGCACCCACACACAAACAGCACCCGCACACACACAGTACACTAACATCACCCTCACAAACACACAGCACCCTCACACACACAGCACACAAACAGCACACTCACACACAAACAGCACCCTCACACACAGCACACTAACAGCACCTTCACAAACACACGACACCCACAAACAGCACCCTCACACACACAGCACCCTCACACAGCACACTAACAGAACCCTAACAAACACACACACAGCACACTACCAGTACCCTCACACACAGCACACAAACAGCACTTCACACACAGTACATTAACAGCACCCTCACAAACACACACACATAAACACCCTCACCCACATAGCACACTACCAGCACCCTCACACACACATCACACTAACAGCACCCTCACACAGCAGTGTATGTATGTGTGTGTGTGTGTGTGTGTGTGTATATATATATATATATATATACATACAGTGCTGTGTGAGGGTGCTATACATACATATACACGCAACGTGTGTTTGTGCTTTAGGGTGCACACCCTAATGCAATAGGCTGCGCATGCCTATGGGTATGTTCAGTCTTTTTTAGTAGCCACTTAGTCAAAAACACTGGCCAAAGTTAGCATTCATAATTGTTTTTTGCATTTTTAACACACAAACAGATATAAATGATAACTTTGGCCAGTGTTTGCGACTAAGTGGCTACTACAAAAGATTGCACATACCCCATATTGAATACCCTGGGTTGTCTACTTTAAAAAAATATGTACATGTGAGGTGTGATTCAGAGATTTATGACAGATAACAGTGTTACAATGTCACTATTGATACATTTTAAAAATATATATTTTGAAACAGCAATTTCCTATTTGTAAAAGGAAATAAAAAGTATGAAATGCAGCGGCCTAACAGAGGGTCACCCTCTAACCCTCTAGAGTGGGAATATACAAGTGAAAACAAAGGAAGGCTGCGCCAAGGGAAGTAGATAAATTTACACAAATAAAATTATATGTGATATAAATAAAAAGTCCCAATATCTATCTTTTAGTGGTTGTCTCAACTGGTGTAATGTCTTCTCTGTTGGAAGTAGTTCGTCTCACGATATGAAAGACACAATGGGAAAAAAACAATCGTGCAGAGTGTATAAATAAATATCCGTGAAATTAAAATATAAACTCCACACTCACATTTCCATGAGCTAAGGACAGCTCTCGTGTAACAGGCATACAGCGGATAACCCTCCGCCTGTAGGGGTGCTTGTCCTCCTGGAGAGTGCTGGTGTCCAATTCTCAAAGGAAAAGTGATAAAAACAGCCTTTTTACTTGTAATTTCTTATTTGTACCTATAGCCCTATAACAAAAAAAAAGCAAAAAAGCATGTAAACACTGGGTGATTTTTAACTCAGGATAAAATGTTGAATCTATTTAGCAGTATTTTAATTAGTTTTTGTAGATAAGTAAAATATTTTTCAGGTAAAAGTCAAAAAACATGTTTTTTATTAAATTTTTCACCATATTTATTTAACTTATATGACATGATACAAATAATGGTATGTAAAGAAAGCCCTTTTTGTCCTGAAAAAAAACCCCAAGATATAATTTGTATGGGAACAGTAAATGAGCGAGAGGAAAATTACAGCTAAACACAAACACCACAAAAGTGTTAAAACAGCCCTGGTCCTTAACATACAACATGGCCAAAACAGTCCGGTCCTGAAGGGGTTAAAAAGGTGAGAATAAATCATAGCTCCTTTAATATTGCTAGGTTCATGCCATCTGGACCCATCACATTCCAATTCAGAGAGCTCTAAAACTATCTCATCTTCTCTGAACAGGATTGCATTACTTTTTTATCTATAAAAGAAAAGATCAATTTTTGTTTTAGTTCTGTATCTTTGGATAAGAAATAATCATTTATGTACTCCACTAAAACCTTGCCTTTGTCTTTTAGTCACATTTTACCTCCCTTTGATTTCTTTCCTCACAAAAATATATATAAAAATGTTTAATCTCTTTTTTCTTTTTTTTTTTCTTCTGTTTGGTCTTTTGAACATCAAATTGTTTTTTTTTTTCCTGCTTACCATTAATCTCTGTATCTTCATAGAACAGATAAGCTATATATAGTTGGAAACATTTGTATTTTATAAACGAAAACAGAAACTAAATATAGAATCATAACTTTTCTTTTAATTGGTGAAGTTTACAGAATATTTAGTTACATTACATGGAAGATAATGCATTTAATTTAAAATTTTGGGGAAAAAAAGTTTTAGTCCACATTTTGGATATTGTGTTTTATGATATTGTTTTTTTTTTTTGTTTTTTGTTTTTTACACAAATACATATTATTTTCTTAAGAATCTGTTCAATAAAACAACATATAACATGTGCGGTTACCCGACAGATATCGTTATCATGGATGTTTAGTTGGATCACATAAATATATAAAATTAACCTCAGACAGACGCCACCACGACCAGAGGAAATAACCCATTTCCTCTCTAACAGAATCACGCAAACGATCCCCACAAACGTAAGACAATCCATTGAAGGACCCCTAACAGACGAAGAATTTAGACTGGTAGTTAAAAACCTCCCCATAGGCAAAAGCCCAGGACCCGACGGCTTCACTACCAAGTACTTCAAAACATTCACAAATCTGCTCTGCAAACCCTTTGTCACTGCCTTCAATTCACTGGCTTTAGGACACAAACTCCCAGTAGAATCCTTAGAAGCCCACATCACATTGATCCCCAAACCCGGAAAGGACCTAGAGGAGTGTGGGAGCTACCGCCCAATCTCTCTTATAAATTGTGATTTGAAAATCTTCACTAAGATTCTTGCCAACCGGCTGAAACCACTCCTGAACGGACTGATACACCCGGATCAATCAGGGTTTGTACCGAATAGGGAGGCCAAACATAACACTACGAAACTCCTAAGCCTGATACACACAGCCAAAGGAAAAGGACCCCAGAGCCTCATTTTAACTATAGATGCCGAGAAGGCATTTGATAGGGTAGACTGGTCCTTCCTCATGGCCACAATGAAAACTCTGGGCTTCGGCCAACAATGGATACAATGGCTCGCAGCCATATATTCAAAACCGGGAGCAAAAGTGCGTGTGAACGGCCAATTGTCAGATACCGTACAAATAACCAATGGTACTAGGCAAGGCTGTCCCCTCTCCCCACTACTCTTCATCCTCACCATGGAGCCATTCCTACAAGGAATAAGAGACAACCCAAACATATCTGGCATTAAAATAGCAGAGCAGGAATACAAGGTCTCCGCTTTTGCGGACGACCTACTGTTCACCCTATCTAATCCAAAAACATCCCTACAACACCTTATACAAGAGATAGAGGCATATAATGCAGTCTCCAATTACAAAATAAACATGGGTAAGAGCGAGATACTCCCGCTCAACATACCGAACGCCACACAAACAGCGCTCCGCGTCACCTATCCATTCCACTGGCCCACAGAGTCAATTAGATATCTGGGAGTCCAACTCACAACCACACTGTCACGCCTATACGCCCTTAACTACACAACCCTTCTAAACAAAGTAGATACCGAACTCAAATCGTGGAATAAACCACAATTCGGTTGGCTATGCAGAATCCACATCTTAAAGATGATGATTCTCCCCAAGTTTCTATATATAATGCAAACCTTGCCTATTAAAATACCAAGGCCTTTCTTCTCCCTCTCCAGGCGACTATTCAACAACTTTATATGGTCAGGTAGACCCCCGAGGCTACAATACGAATGCCTCACAAAAAGCAAACAACGAGGAGGACTAGGCCTACCAGATCTGGAAACGTACCACAAAGCCATTATCCTCACGAGGATTTATGAATGGTCATACCCTAAAAACACAGCCCAATGGGTACAGATTGAGGCCAGCTTTCTCACGACACCGATATATGCCATACCCTGGCTCGCTAACAAGACCGACACG